TTCTGGAATAAACAAACATTTGGCAGAATAACTATAGCCTAATATAGTCTAAGGCAATTACTTGTGAACATCTAGATGTGCCTGTTGCTTGTTTTTTTGTTGTTGTTTTTTTTGACTCTTTTGGCAGAAACGTGTGGTGTGATGTTGAGAAAAAGTGAATTTTAACTATTCTTCTCGATTTAACTCTATGGGCAAACTGACCATTATCAAACATATCAAGTTAAWGTTTAATTGTTGTCACTGGCTTTCTGTTAAAAATGTACAAATTGTAAACCTTTGAAAACTTCTGGGACTTTTAATTTAAGCATTTTGAACAAATTTACTATAAAAYATCAGTTTAATTTGAGAAGTATAATACTTAGAAATCCGTGCATGGGTGTTCTCTACCGAATTTAAGACAAGAACTCARATATTTGAGGTGTAATATCGTAATCAGAACTGACGAATGCATGTTTTTCTTTTTGTTTTTCATAACAAAAGGAGTCCAACAAGCACTTAGCTGTGTACGTGTCCAAATAATGAACAACAGTGAACTGTCACATTGAATGACCTTGAAGATGCTTCTTGTTGATGATGGAAAACAACTTTTATAAGGAGAGACGCAAAAAGGTGTAAAGCGAAGAAAGCTGGACAAGAATGAAACATCAACAAAAACTTCAATCCTTGAGTTTTTTATTTCAAAGAGGGTAATGTACACAACACGAATGACAATGTAGGTGAACAATTGTACRAAAAGAACAGTCAAGAAATCCTTAGTTGAATTCATTGACAAAGAACAACAACAAGGCACGTAAAAAAGGCAACAACTTGTGTTGGTGAAAAAGATGCTTGAGTTTTTTTATGATAAGGAAGACAAAAAACAACAAAAAGAAATAAAAGAAGAAGTCGACAGAAGAAGAAACAACAACAAGCTAATAAAAATAGATTTATAGTTGTAAGGAATATAATTCAAGTTGGAGGAGCGAAAAAGTAATTAAGTAGCTTTATGAAGAAGAAATTTATTGATGAAGAAGAAATTACCAGAGAAAAAGAACAAGAAAGAACAATACACTTACAGCTAAGTTCAGGAGAATGTTTCATGGCAAGAAGAAATAGAAGAAGAAGTGGAACTAAGAGAATTTTAGATAGAGGAAGAACAACTCGCAGCAGTTGAAGAAGATGTTGAGGATGTTTACAAAAGTAGAAAGAAAAGAAGAACATTCGCACTGGAAAAAATCGCGCGCTTTTAAGGTTGTAAATTTGATGTAAATATGATGTAAGTGTCCAAAATTCTGTAAATTTGATGTGAATGATTTCCATTAAATTTACAGAATTTTGGACACTTACATCATGTTTACATCAAATTTACAACCTTTAAAGCGCGCGRTTTTTTCCAGTGTTCAAGAGGAACACAAGACAAGGCTAGACAGAGAAGATATATGATATAATTATAGAGTTCAGTTAGAGAAATAAGATGTCATGGGGCGAAAAAATGGATGAGTCGATTCCATAGAACAACAAGAAAAGAAGTAATTTATGAAGAAGGAGCCCCAGTGGAAAGAGCTAGAGGGAAGAAAATTTGTCAGTGAAATTCACATCGAACACGGCAATGAACAGCAGAGCTAGAAGCAACATTAGCTCAAAAAAATTTCAAAGGCAAAATTTTGATAGAACGATTTAAACAGACTAAACGAAATAACTCAAGAGCAACTTTTATGCTAAACGTGTGGATCAAAAGTGCAGTTCTATAAGTAATTGATACTTTCAGTGACTATTTCTTGCATTTMACCTAAGTTTAACCTCTAAAGCAGTAAATGCAACAGCATGCTACTAGGATTGCATCATGGAAGTCCATGGTACGTGAGTAATGGCACACTTAATTAAGCCCAGCACAGTATGATCCCTACTTGTGTACWAGTCCAGTGTGGATTTATTCTTATAATTCTACTTATAGAACAGGTTAACAGTTTAAAGCYCTGATTATATCCAATCATAGCAGGTTAGGGAATTAAATATTGAAACTAGCACTGYACAAGGATGTACCTGTAACTTTGTAAAGGCATGCAAACAGTTGTCAACATTTTTTCTGAGAGGTTTGKAGCTTTAGTTTTGTTGAACATCTTAAATCTGAATGCCGGAAAAAAGTTGTCTAAAACTTAACAATTCTTTTGAGTTAAGTCTTAAATTAAAATTYTCAAGAAGAATGACCAGGGAAACTTCTGAAAGGAATMAAAAATGGCGGTGTATTTTTTCAATGATAGAGTAGTGGATGCTTACAATCTTTCCAACAYTGTAATGGTATATCGTCATAAAASCTAAACCACCGAATCAAAGTTAAGTTATTTTTTGTTTGTCAATTATGTGGTACTGTTTAGCTTCTATTCAAGTTCCAMAATACCATATTTTCAAGATGTATTTTTCTGGTGGCCTTTGCAGCTGGTTGTCKTTTGAAGTGAGGGTCGTCCACCGCAGCTATTCTTCATGACGTAAGCAATCGCCGTATGACCCCCTTTATTTTTCGTTGAGGGGCTAAAAATATTAAAAAATAAACACATATTTATTCAGCAGTATGAAATATCGCTATTTGTAAAAATTGAAGTTGATCTATATATATTGAAACAATTTTTAAGCTTTTGTTTTGGCAAATTTATTCAGATATATAAAGTTATTTGTTACAAGAAGCGAAGAAAAAWWTTTTCRCTATATTTTAACTTTATTGCAAGCTTCTTTTGGTCGGAAAACACAAAGATTGTTCAAGAATGAAATTTCGAAATAATGCAAATAATGTTGTCGACAAGAACTAGCTAAACACACAATTTTTCGCACAATTTGTTGCGTCAATATTAATTAATTAACAAGAAAACGTTTCAACATTACTGGMACTCCATTTCAGACCCCGCTATATTCAWTTTYGGCTTCAAATGACAAGMACGAAATAGCATCGAGGAAGGTTTGGTTTATGGTGAAATGCTATTGAAGATATTAAACAAAAAATAGACGTTTTTGTCAACAACATCTGTTTCTTTGTTTGACCATTTTATGTTGTGTATAACAAAGACAAATGAAGTTCACTGGCTTATTGTCCAAGGAAAGAATTCAAGTAGAATCGATTAAAGAAAGAAGTACAATGACTATAATTAGATTAATGTGCTATGAACGGAGTTTTTTTCTTTCGTTCTTTTCATATAACTCATAAATGGCTAGAAAAAAATCCTTGATAAGCTGAAATAGTAATGATAACATGCACGTTTATCAATTCTTTATAATGTGTAGTAAGCTAAATAATTTATCTTCTCAGTGCAATACTTTGAGAGGAATTGAACTAAAAGGTTTATTCATGATGATGGCGTCAAACGAAMACACCTTCATTGATAGTAGACAAGCTTACTGAGCCATATGCATGAATGCTTTTATTAAATTGTACATACTAACAAAACAAATGCCTCCTCATGGGAGTTTTGATTATATACAGTTTTCTTCTTCTAGCCTTCACGATTTATTGGTGAACTTCGTCTTCTTGCCTTGTTCTTCTTTTTTTCTTTCTCTTTTATTCTTCACTTGTTCTTGTTCTTCTTGCTGCAGTTGTACTGCATCTTCTTGTTCATCTTGTTCTTCGTTCTTGTTGTTCTTCTCCTTCTTAGTCTTCTTGCTCTAAATTTTTTATGGCTTTTCTTGTTCTTCTTCTTAACTATTATCCTCTTCCTTTCTTTTGTTTCTTTATCTCAAGGCAACCTAACCCTATAAATATTTTATTAGATTTATTTGCACACACTTTCTACTTACATTCACATGTTAAAGCCGGTATTTGATGAGTTTGGCGCACGTGTGACATCGTACCGGGACCGGCGCAACGGGTAAATGCTGATCAATTGACGTCAGTTAACAATACCGGTCTTATACACCTGCGAACTATTGTCATCTTCCGTGGGAATTTTGAGGCAAGCAAGCCAATTTGAYTCTTAATCGAGGGATATATAAAGGGCCCATTTGTGGATAGGAATCTAGTGTGATTGGATGAAGCAATGGCCCGTTTAAAGACCGGGTTGTTCGGCGGGCGAATTGCGCTATCCTGCAAACTGTTATCCTCTATCCAACGTATAGTTATAAAATCGATATATGTACTGGATAACTTTATCCGCTTTTTAATCAATGTTGAGCCAGTTAATGAATAATATTAGTTAAAAATGAAAAAAAAGTTAAGCACATTTTTAGCTTTTACATCTTTATTTTGGTATTTCTTCAAACCGAAATGGGTTCACGTCATCGAGATCTGGCTTTAAATGATTTGCATGCTAGAGCTATACATACCAACAGGCAGGTTATGGTCAACCAACGTTCAATGCAGGAGTGTTTTGGATTTTTTCATGGAAAATGAGGTGACCGGCTCAAATGTCCATTCTTAATCCATTTCCATCCGTTGATTTTAAGCGGATCGAGTCTTACAATGGCTCAATTCTCTAAGTATCTAGGATAATAAAGAGGACGTTTTTGCTTATATTTGATTTTCAAACATAAACAGTGGYTGACGAAGGCCTATAGTTAAAAGCGTTTATGGAAGCTGTTTTTGTGTAATAGATAGAAAAATAGTTACTGACAGTGCACAACAATTGTTAAAACTTTACATTTATAACGGTACGAGCCGGCCGTACAGTTTTCTGTCATGCAAATTCATGCTCTATATATAAGTACTGGTGATCATGTGCCCCGTCCACTAATGACGTCATGGTTGTCGTGGCGAAGTGCATCATGGGAGTAATATTAGTTTTTTTAAGATGGCGGAATTAAGGCTGCATATCGAGTATTCTCAAATTAGACCACTTTGAGATAAATTATATTGTTGTCTCTAAACGATCCAAGAAAGCAACAAGGGTTACGTTTGTTTGTTTGTTGTTTTTTTGTCGTCAATCCCATAGTGCATTTCGCTGAACATTGCATGACGTGACGTCATAGGAGAACACGGCTATCACGACGCATGCGCTAATCTGTTTAAGTTCAGTAGGTTAAGAAAGTTAGTACGACCCTTTTCAAAATAAAAATCTTTCATATAAAAAATCTATGTCTTTTTACAATTCATATTTGATCTATTTTAGCAGTCGATACGCGACTGAATTGAAATATTGCAAACTTTTGTTAAAAAACGACTGTAAGTCTTACTTTTTAAGAAAAATATACACCTTATAACTTAATGAAATTCAACTTTTCTCAAAAGAGGTTTCTGAAAGAACTATTCGAAACTATCCGACCTAATTGCAAGTTTGAGTGCATTAATACCTCAGTATGGTAAAACATTTCTGAAAAATAAAATAAAATGKCGAAAAACAATATATAATATATGTCAATTAAAAAATTTATCTTAGGACAATTTAAATAAAAATACGTGTTCTTCAACGACGTGAAACCCTTGGTCTCAGACTAGTTGTCGTTAGTGAGAGTTCCTGCTCAAAGTCATCATCSACATCTTCTATTGAAACGTCCTTTTCAAACGTGTGCCTTGGTCTCCTTCTCTGCTCTGATCCGAAAGCACGACTGTACTTTAGAGAATGTTGTGGAGCTGTTGGTTCATCTACAACCCTCGTAACTTCAAAGATATTATCAACGCTTTTGCCTACGTTCCAGTGTTCGCTTACATGCCGGTCCATGGTGGTATTAAAAGAAAGAGAGCTATCCAAATCAGGGCCGATGTATTCGACTTCGTCACTACATGCTGGGTTCTCCATCGAAAGTGCTGGGTTCTCCACCATTTGTTTYCCATTYTTCTTATAGCGATCGTTTTGCTTTCCTTTGAATATCTTGAGGTCTCCTTTCAGGAATCTTGATGCTTTTGAAGGGTGTTTTCTGTGCTTCTTGGTGGATGAGAAATCAGGGACGCTAACAGTTTTGTACATTGTTTGTGGCTGTGCTGCTTCCGTGGGTTCCGCCATGTTCCACGCTACACTGCGTCCTGTATACTGGCTTCCTGTTGGAGAATTAAAAAAACATTATATTCAGCAAAATTGATTTGTCAGGAACAAGCGTTTTTTTTTTTCTTTTTGCTTTCCGTAGTGACTAAACAATTATAATTAGTACTTTTTATTTTCAAAACATACCTTCTTTCACTTCCCAAGACTGGTTCATTTGCGCAAACTTCCTTTCTTCAGGCGTCACAGGAACATCGATCTTATARTTCAGACAAAACGATTGCGGCTCCTTTGTTCTCTTGAGAGCAACAGCCAGAGGAATTGTTGCTTCTGCGAGGGTTGAGCCCTTGGATGTCCAACGRTTTCTTCCGCACACGCGCACATGGACTTTACACTCTTGCATAATGCTATTGAGCTTGCGCAGAACAACAGCGTCGTAGGAAAGGCTTTCGTAGATGGAGAATGACACACGACCCGTGGTTTCTTCACCTTCAGAATGAAGTACACATTTTACTGAAAGATAATTTCACAGCACAACTTATTTACAACGCGCTCACTGATTGGCTGGGATGGGTGGTTTAAAATTGGGAAATTTTAGATTGGACATTGAGTATGAGGGTGAGTACATGTAGTGAGTTTTAAGATTCATTCTTTTCGGTAGAGTTGACGTACATAGTGTGCAACCAACAATAGAATTTAAGAAGGAAGTCAATAAGCCTGTGAAATAGATATTACACTAATATACCTTAGGACGCTCTAATTGCATTGTTTTATTTTTTGTCCATTTGACTATCAGATTTTAATAGTCAAATTTTGTTTCACTAGTTTAATGAGCTCTTTCTAGCATAATTCAACATTGTTTAGAGGCATTTTATGCTATCAATATATGATATTAATGATATCATTTATTCTTAAAGTTGAAGAAAATGAAAGAATAAAGCTTAAAGATTGTTATTAATTTACACATTTTATATTTATTGCATCTGTATATTATGCCATTATTACATTATTAATAAATTATTATAATGTTATTATATATATATAATCAAATCATCATTATTATTATTATATTAATATTATAAAATCCCAATATAGACCCCTTGCATGTGACGTTAAAGCAGCTTCATCTGGAGGACAAAACAAAAGATTTTTATCCTCTTGGGAACTAGAATCWATTGTTTTATCCTTCCGTTGGAGCTGCATTCCCATGAACTGCAAGGGGTCTATTATATGTAATTTGTCAGTTAAAAAGGAATGACCTACTATAGATGCTGCATTGATAGAGTAATCTTCTTTCATTGAACACGTTTTTATTTAACAGACACATTATGCCAATCAGTTGAAACAAAGGTTTGCAAAGACAGCAACATTAACTTTAAACAGCTATATATTAAACTGACATCACAAAGCAAGTTTATCAGTAAKTGATTATTAGGATTAATTTTTAGCCTGTTAAAATCTTCACCAGCCAATCAGCACTTTCCTGCAAACAACAACTAGGCACAAATAACAAAAAATATTCACCTTCAGTTTTGTTCTTTTTGGAGCCCAAGTGGGGTCTCTTCTTCAAAACCGACAWGATCTTCTCGGCAATTACGTCAGAGTCAATGCTGGAATAACTTCCTGTGCTGCCCTGAGAGCTCGCGCTGCTTCCACGAGACATGTAGCCTTGATCTTCTGAGTCAATCCTAAAGGAGCTAGTCTTGCCTTTTGTGTCTTTGTCTTTGTCGGGAATCAGGCAGCATTTTACATAGAGATGACTAAAATTGTGAACTGGAAAAAGAGAAATAAAAGGATTAACACTGTTTTCACCTTACTCGATTTTCTGTTTTCAGTTAAAATCTGAAACCATTGCATCGCGACTTCAATGTTGAAAGGAAATCGTTGTGATTTAGCTTGTTGATACAAATCAGCCAATGACTGAACGAGTTTACGAAAACCTCCGCCCCTCACATCAAAGAAAGAATATACTTCAAACAACCTTCAAAACTAAGAAGTAGTGATGCAACAATTTCTGCTGTAAAAATGAGTAATATTTAAAAAAATGAGTAATATTATTACACTACTACTGGAAACCCTATGAAATACCTATGAAAAGGCTATGAAATTAACATAGACTATGAAATAAACCATGAAAAATATTTCATAGTGCTATGAATTTTTTTCCATAGCCCTATGAAACTCAACATGCTATGAAATGATTTCACTGGGCTTGATTCCATCCTATGAAATATTTTCATGGGATTCTTCATGCTATGAAATTTGCTATGAAATTTTTTTGTGCTAACTTCAACCCTATGAAATATTTTCATAGGATTCTTCATGCTATGAAATTT